CCAAATCTTGTAAATCCTTCAGAGTAGCATTTGTTTTCTCCAGGAACTTACGGCGAAGTCTGGGGTCCCTGCATCTCTCAATAAGCTGATCCCTTATTGCCTCATCTAGATTTTCAAACTCGCAGAAGATCGCTTTCTGCCTCAACCGACAAACAAACTGATCCACCGACTCTCCTGACGCCTGCTCCATTTGCCTAAACTGATGTCTTTCGAATGGAACGTTCAACTGCGGTGCAAAATAGTTATCCAACAACGCCATACTCTCAGCGAACGGCTTGATTTCCGTACCGGTCAATAACGTGTAATAAAGCTCCTGAAAATTCAACCCTCCAGTATGCAACAGCAATGCGGTTTTCTGTTCATCTTTCGTAATCCCTTTTGCCACCAAATACAGATTGAACAAGCGTTTCCACAACTTCCAGCGAACTGCAAGGGTGTTCGGATCTTCCTTTGGATTGAAGGTAGGAAGGCTGGCCACATCAAGTAGAGGAACAAACGTCGCGGTTGGCGAAGCTTTTGAACGTGAAGCTGTACTCGAAGTGGTTCCACTGTCGTCCATCATCTTCCTGACAAAATACGAGGACTTTCCGCACAAATGACTTCCAAAACATCCACTACCTCACAAAACGAATTGAATCCTCGTCGCCAATGTAACAATGACAACCGGATGGCCGTGTAATAAACCCAGATTTAACTTTAAAATGAACTACACTTTATTCGGCCGCCATGACACCCGGAAAGCATGGCCCACACAAATATCCATGATCCTTTGCACGTTTACAGTAACCGAGAACTTCCGCTAACACAACTTCCGGTAGACAATAATATCGATACATTACACAAATAAAGCGAAAAATAATGAGCATTTAACTGGCAAGCGGTGCGCAAACCGGTATTAAAGGTCGCCGGTAGAAAACGTACTTGTACCGTGCCTTAAAGCTTTCTCATAAGGTTATTTATGGTACTACGAATGTCGTAAGACTTGAATACTAGGCAAATGTACTTTAAAAACAGGAACGATAAACAAACACCCTGAATATGACGAGTTTTATTAACATCATGCAAGTAAGCTAGATTAAAATATTCGTATACATTAAGACTTTTCTGTTTACAATTATTTACAATAAATAACTTAGCTCTGTTGTGTCGTTATGGGATTTCTTTTCGCAATTGTTTTTATGCATTAAATGCATTGATCTTCCACGAGTTAAATTTTTTCCATAATGGGTATATGTGTGATGATGATGGTAGCCATGTGATCCACTCTGCAGGTGTTTCCCTCTTCTGTTGGTCTTCGGACAGTATGTATGTTGTGATAGTCATCTACCATCATAAGGATGGCATGCTCCTGTTCAAGTGCCTTCTTGATGGCATTGTTTACTACATTTAATCGTTCTTTGCCAATGTTGGCACGGTATCTACTTAGAACTTTGCTTGAACAACTTGTGCCCAAAAGACGCTGGATTTCAATACCAGTCTGCGAAAGATTGCAAAACTGCAAAAATAACCCATTGTCTTGTAAAAAATTGCACT